CACACACACACACACACACACACACACGCCGAACACACACAGACAGGATGAAAGGATGGCGGCTGATTTCCTAAAACATAATTGCATTTTCAAATCTCAAACTCCTTCACATGAAGCAGTTCTCACGCCTTCTGAAGGTTCGTGCTGGATTAACCCGTCAGCATTTTGCTCCTGTTTCACTAATCAGAGATTTTAATTATCACCCTGAAAACCCCCCCCCCCCAAGACTACAAAGAACTTGTATCAAATTCAGTTAGAGGGGTAAAATCGCTTTTTCCTCGCTCTTCATCTGGGGTTTATGTTGCCGACAGTAACACACAAATAGATCTTAAAATTAAGCTGATTAGCCTTGTGAAAGTGCACATTTAACCCCGTCTAATCCAGATACGTTGCATCTAATCCTCGGCTGTGGGATGACGTGCTGGTAGAGTTAACACCTACCAGCACGTCATCACACAGCCGGGTGGTAACTTCCCAGCCTGGTGGACAGAGAGAGGATTTTTTTCAACATCCTGTGATTGATTTAAATGAAAAAACGCTGACTCTATTGTCATGCAGCAGGAAACCGGCGCCTCGGTGTTGTAACGAGTCTCTGTTTTTACTTCTCTCTTGTTCTTCCCCTCGCTCACCCTCCGCTGAAGGAAGCTTAACTCGAGTTACTCCGTTTGCTGATGTGATGTCGTAATGATAACTGAAGTCATGGCTCCCTCTCATGCTGTGTTTAGGTCCCCAAACTCATATGTGGGTTTGATGTTTCCATTCAGGTTACTTGCAAATTGTGAGTCGTAAAAGTTAGAAAACTGTGGAAGAGGGGAAAAGAAAAGCGGCAAGCCAGAGAAACCCTGAGGGGCTCGTAGATACTGTATGTCTGCACTGCAGGAGAACGAGAGAGTTGATGAACAGAACTTTGACTGAATGAGGTGACGGAAACCAAACAACGTGAAAACTAACAAAAAACGCAGACATTTATTATAAATCATGTTCTCTGGGGAAAATAAACCAAAACACTTGATTTCCTCTCAGTAAATGTGTTTTTGTCTTTTTAAACACCTCATTATTTATGTTTGTAGAACTTGAGGAAACTTCACCTGCCTCTCCTCATGTCTCCTCTTCAAGGCTTTGCTGGCAGTGTTGCGTGAGAGTCACCGCACCCGGACGGTGTTCCGCAAAGTGGGCGGCTTCGTCTACGTCACCTCACTGCTGGTGGCGATGGAGCGCTCCCTGTGCCAGCCGCCGCGACACGGCTGGGAGCGCGTCAACCAGAACCAGGTGTTTGAGCTCCTGCACACAGTCATCTGCACGCTCACCGCCGCCATGCGCTACGAGCCCGCCAACTCGCACTTCTTCCGCACAGAGATCCAGTTTGAGAAGCTGGCGGATGCTGTGAGGTGAGGCCCGCCCACACACTTCCTGTAACACCTGAGCTCTTCTTCTGATTTGTCTGAATCGCAAACCGTCGGCATGTTTTGTAACGACTGTGTCCTCCTCTCATCAGGCTGCTCGGCTGTTTCTCGGAAACGAAGAAGCTCGGTGCCACGACCGTGTTCCCCTCGAACGCTCAGCCTTTCCAGAGGCTGCTGGAGGATGAGGCTGCCCCCGGAGGCTGCGCGGGGGACAGCGTCTGTCCTACGCTCAAACACTGCAGCAAGCTCTTCATCTACCTGTACAAGATGGCCACCGACTCTTTCGACAGGTCAGTGGTTTACAGAAGCTGCGCTTAATCGCAATGACGCTTTAATAATGATTTGAGTTGGTATAAAATTCCTCTTGACACACAAGCAATCAAGGTTTTACATAGATTCTTACAGAATGTAGGGTTAAACATGCACATAGCTGCCGTCTCTCTCAGTATCTTTCCGTCTCCAACCAGCACATGTACATGAATGTGCCGCTGTGTGCATATCGCACCGTAAATCAGGCCTGAAGGGTTAAACAGAGGCGGCCGTCTCTTCGCGTCTGTTCAGGCCATTCAGCTAACGTATGAATAAGGTAGAAGCATCATGGTGGACAAGTTATTTATTCATTGTAGGCAGTTAAATAAGTGAACAGTTTGTCGTTACTTAAAGAAGATGTGCCTGGAGTTCAGCGGGGTCTTCATGTAGAAGTGAAGCAGTCTTCAGCAGGTTGTATCCACATGTTGGAGAACATTTCAACGACCCTACAATCCTCTGACACGTTGGAGTGTTTAACAAAACCCCCAAACTTTTCTTTTTCCTGTGAGAGGCGGTCAACTCCCTCCCGACCTAGTTTGAATCACGAAACAAGCCTCTGTAAACATTTCTTTTTTAAATTCAAAGTTCAGGATCTAATTTATTGAGCCGAAGGGGAATTAGTATTTTCAAGTGACCTAAAAAACAGTTTCGACTTCAGCAGAATTGCTGAGGCGAGGGAGAAATCTCTGCTGTTCCCCAGATCTGAATGTGTTCACCTGATTTTTTGAGTATTAGTTTCACTCGTGTATAATATAATAATAGAACATTCAGGTAAAGCGAGAGCGGAGGCTGATCTAATGAAATAAGCGTTTCAAACAATTAAGGTCTGGGATTAAATTCAAGTTGTGTTGAGACTGTTTTTGTTTCAGTGTTTCTTTTCCTCTGTGTGTTTTCATCACCGGGAGGTCACGACCGAAATCAGTGTCTTGCAGAACGAGGTCGTCGTCACTGCACCGCACGCTCAGGCACATGTGCAGTTCTGGCTGGTGCCGTGCTCCAGCTGTACCTCTGATCCTGTTTCCTCTGTCAGCTCTCCACTAACAGCTTCTCTTAATCTTTTCCCTTTCTCTTTTTTCTTCCTCTAACCTCTGGCACTGTCTGGCTGTTCATCCTCGGTCTGGTCCATCTGCACGGCTGCATGTGTGGGTGTGTGTGTTTACGTATGGCCTCACACATCTGGGTGTGCATGCTTGTCTTTCTGTGGGTTTGTGTGTGTGTGTGTGTGTGTGTGTGCGCGCGCCATGCAGTCGTGCGGAGCAGGTGCCTCCCTGCCTGACTCACGAGACCTCGCTGCCCTCCCCGTGGGGTACGCCAGCACTCGCCAGGAAGAGGTAGCTACAGCGCTCTGCCACTTTTGTCACCCTCATCCCTTCCTCTCCATTTTCCTCACCTTCCGTCGACACGCCCACTAGAGCCCATGAGCCCTTCAAACAATTAATGCATCTGCCAGCTACTGTGAACATGAACAACCCACATCCAGCCCTTCCAGCGCTTCATGCTGACTTCAGCCTTTTCCACCATGACATCTCTCCTGAGGGGGGATTTGCCACTCTGTAATTTGCATCGCAGCGACACGCCTCTTTGGTCTAATTGCCCGACTGCAGGCCCGAGCAGATCTTCTGCTCTTCGCTGTTTTCACTCGACGCGGTCTCTGCGCTTTAGACGAAACAGCAGCCGACTGACACCTTGATCCCTGAAGTGTGAAGAGCGCTGAGTCGTGGTGAAATGAAGTTGGTGTCAAAGTGTTTGAGGCAGTTCTTGCGTTGCTTCAGTGAGGGAATATTTTGTTTCTCATTATAAGAATATTTCCACTGAGCTATGAAAGGTCTTGGAGACACTTTGGCTGTAATGATAAATATTTAACACCCACTTCCTTTCTATGAGCCATATTTACATATTTTCTAGACTCCAGAGACGAAACAAACTTATGTCCGACTGAAGTGTCACTTCACATGGCTCGTCGCGGGGGCTGATGTTCCACCTCAGATTAAACTGACACGACGATGACTTCATTTTCTTGTCTTAATAAACATACAGCTCCGGAAAAAAATTAAGATAGCATCACAGATTCAGATCAGCTTCTCTGTGTAGAGAAGTGGATGATGCAAATCTGAAGTTTTGATCTTCGGCTAAAAGCGCTAAAGTTTTCAGATTTGATTTCACCTTTTACCTCATCTCTTCCATATGTGTTGGTGGATTTTGTTTTCTGTGAAGCACTTAGTGAAATCAAGGTTGTGTGAATCACTTGGTCTGCCTGAGCTGGACTAAACTACATTTTTGACCTGGTATACGTTTCCCTGTTCTCTCAGACAAGGTTACTACGGTACGTCAGGCCCCCCTGCCCCGGTCAAAGCCCTCACAGACCTGAAACTCCACCTCACTAACCCCTCCCACCCCGCTTCCTCCTCGTCTTCGTCTGACATGGTGGTCATCCACCCGGGGGCCGTCCTGGCCATACTGGACCTGCTGCCCTCCGTCTCCTCCGACAGCCAACCAGAGGTGAGGACACAAGAAGGAAATGTACTTCCTGTCAGAGCGGGTGAACGGGTCATGTGCAGGGCAGGAAAGAACCTTTTTTTTGCCGGGTGGTTTTTAAATGGTGAAGTCAAAACCAAAGAAAATGCTGAAAACACGAGTTACGTGACAGGATAAGTATTTGATTATGTAATTTCAACGTCAGTGCATTACCCAAGGACTCCTCTTATACAAGGAAATAGTAGTTGTACCAGTAGTTATATCAAAAGTTAATATAAAGAATTTCAGCTGATGGATACTAGTCTTTTTCAAATGACAGACTTACATTGGAATCATTTCTGACCTTGTATGTTTCATTCCCTCCTCCTCCTCTCCTCCTCCTCCTCCTCCTCCTCCTCCTCCTCCTCCTCCTCCTCT